CACAACCTACAGGACACCGCCACTACCACTACTACAGGCCTCACTGATCACCATTACTAACACCACTCACACCACACCAGCACTACCACCAACACCATCACTACCTACACGAACATAAGAACATAAGAATGGAGGAAACTGCAGCGGGCCTATTGGCCCATACTGGGCAGTCCCGTTTACACCCAACCCCTATTGCTCATATAAGCATCCAACCTATGTTTGAAGCTATTCAGCGAATTCGAGTTAATGATGATATTTGGTAACTTGTTCCATTCATCCACTACTCTGTTTCCAAACCAGTGTTTACCTATGTCGCGCCTAAATCTAAATTTGTCTAATTTAAAACCATTGTTACGAGTTCGTTCCTGTTTGGATAGTTTGAGTACCTTTGTAATGTCCCCTTTGTTTATCCCTGACTTCCATTTATACACCTCTATCAGGTCGCCCCTCGCTCTACGTCTCTCGAGGAAGTGCAAATTAAGATGCTTTAACCTGTCTCTATACTCAAGGTTCCTAATGCCCGGGATTAGTCTTGTCATTCTCCTCTGTATTCTTTCTAAGGATTCTATATCCATTCTGTAATACGGTGACCAGAACTGAACTGCGTAATCCAGGTGTGGTCTCACAAGAGCAAGATACAGTTTTAGGATGACCTCGCTAGTCTTGTAACTAACACTCCTTTGTATGAACCCAAGTACTTTATTAGCCTTGTTACGAGCAAAAATACATTGTTTACTTGGCTTAAGGTTCCTACTTATCATTACTCCTAAATTTCTCTTGCAGTCGGATTTCTCTATGGCATCGTTGTTCATCTGGTATCTGGTTTCCCTGTTTACATCTCCAATACTAAGTACTTTACATTTGTCCACGTTGAATTTCATCTGCCATTTTTCAGACCATTCGAAAAATTGGTTTAGATCTTCCTGTAGTTTTGCGGAGTCCTCGTCAGATTTAATAACACGTCTTATTTTAGTGTCATCAGCAAATTTACTTATGTTGCTGTCTATGCCGATATCTATGTCGTTTATGTATATAATAAATAATAATGGTCCAAGTACTGAGCCCTGGGGAACTCCACTAGTGACGTTGCTCCAATGGGACTTAGTGCCGTTAATGCTCACTCGCTGTTTCCTGTCCTGTAACCACGCCCTAATCCATTTAAGGATATTACCTTTGATGCCATGTGCTTCTACCTTTCTAATTAGTCTTTCGTGGGGGACTCTGTCGAAGGCTTTGCTAAAGTCGAGATATACCACATCATAATTGTGCCCTTCGTCCACCGATTCGAAAACTGATGAAAGGAATGTAAATAAATTAGTTAGACATGAACGCCAGCTTGTGAAGCCATGCTGGGAATCATTGATCAACTTGTGCTTCTCCAGGTGGTTACGAATAGAGTTTGAAATAATTAATTCAAATAATTTGCCTACTGTTGGTGTTTGGCTGATTGGGCGGTAGTTAGAGGATAGTGATCTATCTCCCTTCTTGAAAATCGGTATTACATTCGCTATCCTCCAGGATTCTGGTACTACACCTGTATTTAAGGACATGTTAAACAACTTTGCTAAGGGCATATTAAGCTCTTCCTTACATTCCTTTAATACTCTGGCAATTATCTCATCGGGACCAGGTGACTTATTAGGCTTTAGTTTGTCTATTTGCTTGCTAACATGGCTACTAGTCACTACTATTTTGCTTAATTTGTTTTCTTCAATATCTCTGAATAGAGTCGGTGCCTCGGGTATCATGTTTACATTTTCGGTGGTGAAAACTGTTGAAAAATATTTATTCAAATTATTGCTCATTTCTCCGTCGATGTCAGTGAGCTCGCCGGTATCTGACCGTATTGGTCCAATCTTTTCTCGTGTTTTATTTGATACATTTGGTAGAATCCTTTGGGGTTTGTCTTCGCCTCCCTTGCTATCCTTACCTCATTTTTCCTCTTGGCTTTCCTTATCTCGGTTTTAACCCTACTCGCCAATACCTTATAATAATCCTGGAGGTAAATTTCTCCATGATGTATCCTTCTACTTATAGCCTTCCTTTGGCCAATGATGTTCTTTAAATAATTATTTATCCATTTAGGGTCATTGTTGTCCTATCTGAGTTTTTTGTATGGTATGTTCTGTCTTTGGGCATTAAGTAACTCATTTTTTAAATTGTTGTGGAACTCGGCTATCTCAGATCTCGTTATCAGGTCGGTGTCATCTGTCAGGTTCACGCCCAAGCGCGACACCCCCTCTCTCAGCTGCCTCTTTAAACTGTCAAAGTTTGCCCTTCTGAAATCTGGTACTTCAGTGGAATTTTCCTTATGTCTGCCCTGAAAATCTAGCTGGAATCTAATTTCTTTGTGATCCCTGTTTGCAAGTTTGTTCCCTACCTCGACATTACTAATGAGGTTTTCTCTGTTCGACAGAACTAAATTGAGTATATTACTACCTCGGGTGGGTTCGGTTATATGTTGACTTAGGAAACAGTCCTGGATCGTTTCGAGAAAATCCTCTTATTCTGAGTTACCCGTAAGGTCAGTCCAATCTATTTGGCCAAGGTTAAAGTCGCCTACTATACAGACTTTGTTGTGTATGGAAGCCCTGCGCATTTCATCCCAGATAAGTCTCTCATTGACTCCTGTGATTAATTTTTCCCTACCGTCGATTAATTCTTTCCAAATTGTTTCTCTATTCCGCTCAGTTTTTATTTCCTTATTTATTTCACACTTCAGATTATCCCTGACATATATGGCTACTCCGCCTCTTTTCCTGGTCTGCCTATCGGTATGGAACAATTTGTAACCCTCAATTTGGTATTCGACCGGTAACTCACGTGTGTCTAGGTTGATCCATGTTTCAGTGAATGCTATTATGTCGATTTTTTCGGTACATACTAAGGCCCTAATATCATCCATTTTGTTTTTCATACTTCTACTGTTCGCGTAGTAGACATTTAAGTTAGTCGTGTTCTGAGTCCTCCCTTTACCGCGTTTAGTTTTAAACTCCCTGTCTGCTTTAGTTTTGTCGTCATTCCTAACACTATTTCTCTGTAGTCTTTCACTTTGTTTACCCGCCCCCACTGCAGTCTTCTCCACCCCCGTGCCCTCATGTTTCCCTAGCCGTTTAAAGATTTCGATATCTTTTGAACTGCCCCCTCTAGAGACCCAGCCAGGGTTGCCACCCCCTCCCGAGACAGGTGCACCCCATCCCTAGCATAAAGGTCCCTTCTGCCGTAGAAGTTGTCCCAGTTGTCAATGAATGGGACTGATATTGACTTGCAATATCCGTCAAGACGACCACCACCACTACCATCATTACCACCATCGCTACTAACACCACCACCACCACCACCACCATCACCATCACTACCACCACTACTACTGGTCTCACTGAGGGAATCAGGTCAGCGGAGGAAGGTGGGTGAGAGAAATAAGGTGGGGGTGAGAGAGCTAGGTGAGGGGAGGGGGATGGGGGTATGGAACCTAGTGAGGGAAGGAGGGTGAGGGATAGGCTCTGGTGTTTTTGTTATGGTAGAAATAAAGATGTTTTTGACGAGTCTCAGTTTATTTTGCGTGGTAGAATTTGTAATTAGAACACACACACACATACACACACACACACACACACATACACACACACACACACACACATACACACACACACACACACACACCAGATCCCCCGACTCCAAATTTCGGTGCTGTCTTTACCAATCTTTCCTGATAGTGTATCTCTCAGAAGACCACAGCTTCTCATGCCATTCAGGGATCCCATTTTGTCTCCTTCTGCCTCCACCCTCCCCCCCTCACTATTAGTTTTACCCATTTATATCTTTATCATTATCCCTTTATCACTAATTATATGGCAATAAGTATCTAATTTTGCTTCATCTATAAATATTCAGTATTTCTTGCATTGTTCTAGTCATTCTTAGTTCTTTTTAATTAGTTTTCATATCAGTATAACTTACCTTTAGCATTGTCCTGTAGCAGTACATTTAATAGGTCTCTAACCTCCTCTTGGTGTCTGCTGACCCATACAATATCACTAACCAACAATACATTGCATTTTGCTTTTTTTAAATAAAACTTATGTCCCTCAATTACATTTATCGGTTCCTGCAAAATGCCAAATCCATGGAAAACATTGTACGGTGCTGTTTGGAATGGAAAATGATGTGAGGTTCCATCAATGTACAGCTAATGATTTTGGCCGGTGTGACGATGTACAGTATATAAATGAGGCCAGCAGTGATATACTGTACGGTGTACTTCCAATAAAGCCACACTGATATTCTCCAGGTAGTTTCTCTGCCTTGGGTGAGAAGAGCGACCACACTGTTGTGGAAAGGAGCTGAAGTATATATATATCACGGCCATCCAGAACACCCCATGATTATTACTGTTGGCCCTTCTGTTTCCTTTGTTGAGAGTAGTAACCATATTTAGAATAGTTTTGTTCATTTTTCCGGTAACTATAAACAGCAATCTGGATTAATTTCAGCATTTCTAAGTCTAATCTTTCATAAGCGGAAGTTCACCACGGTAGTCTCAGTGAGTCGTGGGCCAGTATGTAGGTCATGTCAATGATGATAATCACTATTAAGCCGTATATGTGTCAGTTTGTTCACGTATCCTCAGAACCTTCATTACTTCGTATTATTCCTTAATGCTATGACTAAGTGTGACGAGCGCGGGCCAGGTCTTAAATGATCACCTCTAAAAAAAAGAATCCTTTTGGGTCTTCTGTAGGCGTGTCTCCCAGATCGTCTAATATCAGTACAACAACTAATTCTTCTCCCATATGCAGTTCATATACAGTGTGTGTGTGTGTGTGTGCGTGACTAAAGTCTTACAGAAGGGATGTTTCGCGCCACACCAAGATGCTCACTCATGCACATAAAGCAATAATAATATCTTAAGAAACATGATCACTCAAGAGAAATTATTCTACGCTTTAAGAAAACTTTTACTTAACATTTAAATGCAATAAAAAGACTTAGACACCTACCCTAATATGCTTTGATGATTCCGTTTCCTCATGCCTAAAAAAAATTATACCCTCGACAAATTCCACCAAAATTAGGGCATGAATTAACACATTCACAAGCCACCAGCAGCAGTTACACACTCCATACACTTTAATCTTCGGCACACACACACCCACACGCACCTGAGCCCCACACACCTGAGATCGGACTCCGTCGCTGAAGTACAACTCACCTCCACCCCACAAACCTTACTCGTCTCAGGCAACACACTGATGCCATATGGTGAAGACGACTTTCTTCACAACACAATTCAGCACTTATTACAACCACGTACTGTACGAGGATGTTATACCGTATTTATAGTCATCTTGTTTTACATTTATTTCGTTTTCATTAAGTGGACTTGTCTAGGTTAATACTGTATATACTAACTCTTAATGTTTTATTACACCTTTAAGTTATGTCGGTGTCTAGCAACCTATACATCCTGTCACTGAACTTTCCCGAGTCATTTGTTAACAGGAAGAGCCAGTACTCCGTTTTCTAGCTACGATAAATCAGGATAGAAAACTCAAGAAAAACATCATAGCTTGGCCAATTACCGACAAACATACGAGTTATACTCGTGGGAGGAAAGGCGACTGTTTACTAGAGATAAGGAGAGTTTCTATCCTACCAGTTGTTGACGTTGGAGAGGACCTCTGGAATGTGAACTGTAAAATTCACGACACAGTTATATGTCTTTTTCCCGCGGTTCCTCGATTTCAGTGTTGTTCTCAGTTTTCTTTCCTAATATATATTATACAAAACAAGTAACACCCTTGGATTATAGGATAACCTAATTCATGGATATTAATCCAGGTGTATAAATGTCTATCCCTTGGATATTTTTTCCTTTACTTTTATCCTCTTCACCATTGATCGGCTCGTTAGTCGCTTGGGCGATCGGTCACGTCTCTGTAACGCACTGTTGACAAGTACTGGGCACGCACTGGCTCCTGAATGTATCTGAACCGGTGTCATGGCTGTGATGAGGATAAAGCACACACAGAAGTTTACTGTAACAATGGCATTTACCAAACACGCTGGTCACTGTTTTTCTGTATTTATATATTTTCTTTTAGAACACATGACGCCAAGCGTGCTCTCATGTCTCAGCCGATGTTAAGTGTACTGTTACTGACATTGGTTGATATTTTCTACTACTACTACACCTTCGCCGCCATTTTATTACCTTTAAATTAACTATCCTAATACATAAGAAGCTACCCTGGCTGTGTTGAGTTAGTTGAGCCGCAAATCTATGCAGCATTAAGTGAATGTTGCCTTTAAGTCGATATCTGCGACTGTTGTCGGCCTTGGGGCCGATGCTCTCGTTCCCCTGAGGCAAAGCAATGCAGACCTAAACAGAGAGAAGTACAGTTGACATCTCAACCAGGCTGTAACAAAACTTCTGGGCTGCTGCTGCCGTTCAGATAACATCTCCACAAGTCTGGCATAGAAGCATCTTGCATTTGGTCCCATCCCGCCAGAGGTTGTGAACACCAGAGGAGTGAAGCTGCCTTGATCAACGTTCTGAATTCTCTCCCCATATGCCCTAATCTTGTCGTTCTAGTTCCTCCTGTGTGCAGCATCGAGAGCTAGGTTGCGGTGACATGCGGCAATGGGATCAAAAATCCTTATGTCAAAAAAGACTCGCTGTCCCCGCGTCCAGAATCCTCGATCACTGACGTCCACACGGGCTTCGTTGGATGTGTTTGAAGTCCTGTGACGGAGGTTCTCACCGTCCAATGGAAGGAGGGGCGGTTCCACCATGACGTTGTAGCAGATTTCCCTCTGTAGATTTGCTGTTAGATTCCTTACTTCGTCATGCCTCATGCATACGAAGCCCACCTTTTTGCACACCATGGCGTGGTCGATGTCATAAGATGAGCTGCACGCGCATTGGGAGGGCAAACCTTCTACTGGCCTACCGTACCTTAGAGCAATGGCATTTGTGAATTTTTGTTTATTAAGGATGAAGCCTTTTGCCCTTATCGGTAACGTTGTTAACCAGTTTGAGGCGCCCACCTCCTGCGCTAGGGCTACTTTTTTTGACTACTCCTACTACTTTATTGGCCTCCAGCCTCCCCCAATAGCCATACCTCCGCCACCATTTTGTTACCTTAATATTAAATATCCCAATACATACCACTACTACTATACTACTAATAATAATAATAATCTAAATGAATCCAAACCCTGTCCACGAACCGCTACTATGGGAGTGATGGTGTAACTATAAACAAATGCGTCACTGCTGGAGACTGTCTAATATCATTATTTTCTTTAACGCCCGATAACCTTATGTTTGATCATTCAATTCAATTTCAATTGTTTATTCCTTGATAGAGGAAGCGGGATCCTAGTGCTGTCACTAGGTACCCCTGTACAATGACACCAGAAGCATCTGGCAAGTGTGACAAGTATATACAGTATAAATATTATAAAGGGGCTTACTAAAGCCTAAGGAAGGAAGGATGTTCCTTTAACACATAATCAATATTATTTACAAAATATCTGGCCAGTATGGGGAGGATCATCGTGTCTCCGTCAGGGGGTCGTGGAGTGGTGGTCCAGCAGGTGTCACGGAAGCGTTGTGTGTGGGGACATTTTAGGAGGTAGTGGATAAGGGTGCTGCTGTCGGGTCTTCTGCATAATGCACAAGAGCGTTGCTCAGGGGATGCGGGGATACCAATCTCCCAAGCAAAGTCATACCCAATGATGATACGGGCAGCAATCACGTCCCCTTTCCGCGACCCTTTCCCGTAGACGTACGAGAGGTCAGGAAGTTTACGGAGGACATCGTACCAGGTGGGCGGGGAGTCCAGGGGGATGGCTGCTTCCCGAGCTTCTCTCTGTTTGCGGAGTTTGATCATTTGTGAACCATTTCCATGGCAACACTTAGTTAGTCAATTTGGAGGGATTTGCACCAGAGGTTCATCATGTGATTATTGTCAAATATCTTGATCCAACCTTTCATGAGGGTTTGCCCTGATAAAGTGACCTGCACTTAGGTTACACTTGACGAGTTCACCATGGAATTTACGAACCAAGCCAGATAGTCTCTTGGGCCTGGCGACGCATATCACACACATGTTGAGGTACGATAGGCATATCTCCCCTTATGGTTCGGATATTTGTGAACCAGCTGTTTTTTTTCTAAAAAGCTGGAGGTGATGTTCTATTACTGGTACTGACTCACACTTGAGTCAGGGACCAATCGATTGCCAACCACCGTACCACCACTCCCTCTTACTGTGCCTAATAAAGAGTTGAGAGGAGGCATCGATTTGTGGAAATTATAGTGTAAATTTGTTTTAACATTTATCTCTAATTTTTGTGAGTCAGTTTATTGCATATATCAATACAGGAGTGATATTTGCCTGTTACTTGAATATTTAACTTAGTCTTAGATATTAATTAAGTCCATAATTCTTAAACAAAGTCGTTCATGGCAGTGTGACACATAAAGAAAGTTTCCGTAGGTTGTTATGATTTTTCACTATTAATACTGAAGGATTACCGAAAAAATAATTACGTCATACTATTATTCAACTTGGCTAATTTGTCGCAAGTGTTTGAAGGAATGATTCAGATCTTACCGGCAAAGTGGGATCCTTACGTCTCAGGGTTGGAAACCCTGACCCTCCACCCAACGCGTTTTTGGTCTGTATTTACCAACTCTCCAGGAACCACAGCTTTTAATTCCAGTCATCTATTCCAGTATTTACCTTCCCCCTGACAACTCCTATTTTTTGATTGCGTGAAACCTGCAATACCGGCAAGAACCAAGACAACCCTGAATCTTAAATTTTTCAAGGAGTGTCAGTCAGTGCAAGGAAGCTGCAGAAAGACTGAGAGCATTATTGTCTCAAGAACCGCCAAGGCAACTCAGTATCTGAACGTCTGTCGGTTTTACTACCTAAACAACCACCGGTGTTTTCAACCACAAGAGCACCGTTTGTAAACACATGGAGAAAATTGACGTATAACAACCGCAAGATGTTGTAAGTGACTCGCTGAGGTCATTGCCGTCTTGAGGGAAGATTCCTGTCGCGCGCACGCGCGCGCGTGTAATAATAATAATAATAATACTAATAATAATAATAATAAAAATAATAATAATAATAATAATAATAATAATAATAATAATAATAATAATAATAAACGGTTTATTGAAAGAGCTTGGCAGCCAGAAGGCTGAAAATATACAGTTACATAATTGGGGACTGGGTTTCGATTTACAAATAATATACAAATATCATAAATGATACAAATAAGATATATAATAACTAGATGGGGAAAAGCTCAAACTACAGGGCATTTCAACATAGTGACAGCGCAAGAAGTAGTATTTACTGGGAGTGAATACACTGGCATATTACAAGTTATTGATAATTTGTACAATGGTTGGGATTGGGCTGTTCTTATAGCGATCAGTTCGTGCACGTATGGGCTGGATGCGGTTGTGGTGTCGAACAGCAATTCTCGGGCTAGGGATCTCAGGTGGTAGTAGGAGCAGGTGTCGAGGATGGTGCAGAAGGTTCTTACCAAATTTGCAGATGAGGTCGTGGTGATGGTCAGAGAGAGCCGAGAGGGTCAGTGTGTTGAGCGCTTCTTGATATGTGGAGTAGGAAGGGGAGAGAATAATCTTGCATGCCCTCTTTTGCCCTTTTTCTAGGTGTTTACGTTGTGTGGCATTTAGGGAGGAAGACCAGGTAGGGGAGGCATAGGTGAGCTTGGGAAGTATGAATGTTGAGTAAACACTGAGGAGCTCGGGTGCAGGAACTCCGAGGGACTTGAGTCGGCGGAGGAGGTGGAGACGGAAACTGGAGGATTTGACAACTTCACTGACGTGTGGTGACGCCGAGGAGCTGAGTAGAATCTACAACCTGGAGTGTGTTGGGACCTAAAGTAATGGAAGGGGGTGGGACAATGTCGGAAGAGAGGTTGATGTGCATAACCATGGTCTTGGTATGGTTGATGGCGACGTGGTTGTTGGTGGCCCAGTTTTGGAGACTGTTCAATAAATCCTGAAGGGCGGTGTAGTCGGGAGCAGAATTGTTGACGTTGATCCCAATGGTGGAGTCGTCGACATATTTCCAGCGAGCAGGGGTTTCTCTTAGGGCATCATTGATAAGCATAAGGAAGCAGAGTGGTCCCATCTTGGTGCCTTGGGGGACGCCACAGGTGA